GTTTTGCCTTGATTTCTCCAGGACTTTTCGAAGTTACGGTTAAGACAACCCATTATTTTCTCGGCGAAACAACAAAATTGACTCAAGATACTTATCCACATGATAAAGGATGTCTTGAATGTCCCAAAAATATCAATAACTAATTTTCGACCAAAATCGAAGTTACAGTCTTTTGCCTTCATACATAAATTATATATTATAATATAGTTATGTTACATATTATAATATACATGTTTTTTAAATATAATAAAATACATATTTTTTTAAATATAAGTTTATAAATATAAAGTAATTTAAGTTTAACATAATGACTACTTTACTCAATATTTGCACTTGTTATGTATTTTAATGTTAGTTAGAGTATACTGTATACAGGGGTGTAAATTTCATCTAACAGTTGGGGGGGACAATAAACATAACATTTCTCAATAGCAATTTTTGAAGGGGACACAAATAATACAGCTAAAATTGTACTTGTAAGGATATTTATGTACAGAGGAAAGCCTTACTACTATTAGTGCAGCAGGGAGACCGTGCTTAAAGCTGTTGTGGTCGCGCCGCGACAGCCCTTGTGTAGACATTACTATCCATCACAGTATTGCCAAGACCACGGTTTTCTCGTGGAATCGGGCTACTTTATCACTGTTGCCGCGGGTTGTTTTTCATGTCCGCAGGTTGAAGCGACCCCAATAACGTGCATTTTAGTCCCCGGAACGCTATTTTTTCCCGGGGGACCCCTCGAAACGTGAAAACCTGGCAACCCTTTCTGTCAAGCAGGTGATGGAATATATTATTGCTAATATAGTGGATTCATCGAAAAATACATCATAAAGAGAAAATAATCACTTCATCTGATGTTTAAGTTAATAAAATAGCCTTGACAGCCTTACTTACTTGTGTGTAGGTGATGTAAAATATTTTTAGGGGGGACAACCCTCAGAACCCCCATGTGTGACATAGCAGTTAAGTGATCAATTAATGTCAAACAATCACAGAGATGGATGTGTCTCACGCAGCTCTGCGCCCTGTGTCGTGGAGTGTGTGTGCTTTAAGAAGTGCTGACAATAGGTGATTTTTCATCCAGACGGCCAGCAGCAGATCTGCAGTAATTAAGGTTCTGTAATGCACCTTGAAAGGGAATGAGTGCCATGCTAGCAGGCAGCCATTTCTAAAGCTTTTTACAATCCATGTCAAGGGCCGCTCACACTCTCTTTTTCTCTGGGTCGGACAAAGGGCTCGCTTTAGCGTTAAGTAGTAAACATAGAAAAAATGTGTTTTCGCTCAGCCTCACATAAAATGAGCACATTAGATCAAGTGCAACACTTCTGAATTCAAAAGGAAGACTAATGGTGTGACTGGAACTTTTAATGGTTTGTTTACAGTTAACAGCTTTCTCTAAATCTGTCACGAGCAGGTAAATTTAATCAAACCCAACCTAAAGCCCTGGGCTCAGTCCAAATTCACATACTGTTCCTGCTGCAAAGTCCACAGTGAATTTTCATCCTGGTTTAGGCCGGGTTATGCTGGTTCATCGCGGTTTTGATGAGGGTGCACTGTGATGTACTTTTAAGTTAGAATTGTTGGATTCATAAGGGATCCAAAAGTCTCAAAATCTGTAATTCAAAATCTAATTTCAAAGCGCAAATAACCTGAAAGACATCTTAATTTCTCAATTGAACTTTTCATTCAAGTTGAGATGCTAGAAATACAATTTGTAATTGGGAAAAAAACCTTAAATTAGAAAATAATGCACAATGGAAAGTGGTCTCAGTCTGTTATTTTAGTATAATTTATATACTACTATAATTTTATAAAGTATAATAATTTTAGTTAAGGTTTTATTAATTAATTTGCATTAATTTTATTAATTTGTATTAGTGTTAATTTCGTTAACGAAGGCTATGACGAAAAATGTTCGTTGACCAGCTTTTTTCCCATGATTAAGACCAGACAAAGACGAGACGCTAATAAGGTCAATAAACGATAACCAAGACTATATCAACATGCAATTTCGTTGACGAAATAAGACGCGACCTTTACCAACTCTTTTTATTTTCGTCAAAAAAATGAGACAAAATGTTATTGCATACTGCTCTACACGCCTCTACTACGCGAGCTTTCATGAGTGCGGTTGCCAGATATCAAGAGTTCAAGGCCCCGAATCAGAGCTTCGCTGTTACAAGCATACATTTTCTGCCCGGTGTGTTTTGCTTATTTTTATATAGCAATCTGGCAACCATGCGCACGCGCTCGCTCCTCACTGCGGAAGCGCCGCCGCAGACGATCTAAAAAACAAACAAGCTGGAGTTTAGCGATCTAAATGAAAGTGTCATTCAGCCGGTCAGTGTTCTGTCATGAGATCTCACTATATTGTTTGCGATTTTGATCGCTGAATAAATACACTTACTCAATCGCTGTTGTTTAATAGAGAAATAAACTATTGCAATTATGGAATTAGTGGAATTACTAGGAATTTGTTATAATATTTAGTTTGTTTTAGCTGTTTTCATAATATAGACAGAGATATTGCATAAGTCTTTGGTGCTGATTTATATAATAAAAAGCCTATAATAAATTAGTACACTAGATGAGGTAAAATATACCGTGTCCACATTCTATTGATTTGTGCTTACTGGAGAATGTGCAAAAGTAAATTTCTCAAATGACAACAATCATTACGATTATAATTTTGAGAAAAAAATTATTTTTATCAGTTTAACCATTATACAGAATGACGAAAATGTGACTAATATTTAATTGACTAAAAAACCCCACTAAAATGCTCATACGTTTCATTGAATAAACAAAAACAGGACAAGTTTGTCTAAATATGATAACTAAAATGTACATTTGAGTAAGACTAAGACTAAATAAAAAATGGCTGCCAAAATTAATACTGCTGTACGGTTAATTAATAATAATCTTATTGCTAAAATGTCAAGTTTTCTTGGACTAAAACTAGACTAAAATACTTTAGATTTTCTTGGACTAAAACTAGACTAAAATGCTTTAGATTTTCTTGGACTAAAACTAGACTAAAATACTTCAGGTTTTCTTCAACTAAAACTAGACTAAAATACTTTAGATTTTCATGGACTAAACCTAGACTAAAATACTTAATGTTTTCTTCGATTAAAACTAGACTAAAATACTTCAGACCTGAGTTAAATATATGAGCGTCACAGCAAAGGGTCTGAATACTTAGGACCATGTGATATTTCAGCTTTTCTTTTTTAATAAATCTGCCAAAATGTCAACAATTCTGTGTTTTTTTGTCAATATGGGGTGCTGTGTGTACATTAATGAGGGGAAAAAATTAACTTAAATGATTTTAGCCAATGGCTGCAATTTAAGGGGGTCTGAATACTTTCCGTACCCACTGTATGTATAGCTTACTTCTGCCATTGCATAAAAAAATAAAAAAGGTAATTGCAACTTTTTATCTTGCGATTCTAAGAAGAAAAGTTGGAATTGTGAGATATAAACTCACAACTGCAAGAAAAAAAATTACAATTATCCTTTTTTTATTCTGTGTTGGAAGCAAAAAATAGAAATGCAAGATGTAAACTCAGAGTTCTGAGGGAAAACAATTCAAAATTGCTAGGTTTAAAAAGTTATCTAACAATTCTGAAAATTTTTCTCAAAAGTTTAGAGTTTGTAACTCTCAATTTCTAGTTTAATATTTTTCTGACTTTTTCTTTAAATTGTGAGAATAAAAGTCAGAATTATTTAAAAAAAATATTTTTATTTCAGTTTTAGCTTTAGTAATTTTAGTACTTCAACTTAAACTTTTCTGATTTTCATTTCAGGTTTCTTTTTCTGTTTAAAGGATTAGGAGGTGACTAAATCATCAGGACATTTTTAATTCTGGAGTGAACTAATCCTTTAAGTTAATCATATTTACATTTATATTTTATTTAAGCTTTATTTGAAAAGCTGAAAAATAAAGCTGAAATAATAAAAAAGATATATACAGTAGGTATGGAAAGTATTCAGACCCCCTTAAATTTTTCACTCTTTGTTATATTGCAGCCATTTGCTAAAATCATTTGTTATTTTTTGACCAGAGAATCTTATTTCTCACCATCTTGGAGTCCTTCAGGTGTTTTTTCATGTGTCTTGCACTGAGGAGAGGTTTCCGTCGGGCCACTCTGCCATAAAGCGCCGACTGGTGGAGGGCTGCAGTGATGGTTGACTTTCTACAACTTTCTTCCATCTCCTGACTGCATCTCTGGAGCTCAGCCACAGTGATCTTTGGGTTCTTCTTTACCTCTCTCACCAAGGCTCTTCTCCCCCGATAGCTCAGTTTGGCCGGACGGCTAGCTCTAGGAAGGGTTCTGGTCATCCCAGACGTCTTCCATTTAAGGAATGGAGGCCACTGTGCTCTTGGGAACCTTAAGTGCAGCAGAATTTTTTTTGTAAGCTTGGCCAGATCTGTGCCTTACCACAATTCTGTCTCTGAGCTCTTCAGGCAGTTCCTTTGACCTCATGATTCTCATTTGCTCTGACATGCACTGTGAGCTGTAAGGTCTTATATAGACAGGTGTGTGGCTTTCCTAATCAAGTCCAATCAGTATAATCAAACACAGCTGGACTCAAATGAAGGTGTAGAACCATCTCAAGGATGATCAGAAGAAATGGACAGCACCTGAGTTAAATATATGAGTGTCACAGCAAAGGGTCTGAATACTTAGGACCATGTGATATTTCAGTTTTTCTTTTTTAATAAATCTTCAAAAATGTCAACAATTCTGTGTTTTTCTGTCAATATGGGGTGCTGTGTGTACATTAATGAGGAAAAAAAATTAACTTAAATGATTTTAGCAAATGGCTGCAATATAACAAAGAGTGAAAAATTTAAGGGGGTCTGAATACTTTCCGTACCCACTGTATATTCAGTATGTACTCAATACACTTAGTTGACATAAAATTAATTGTCTTCTGTACATAATTATTAATTGGGATTAAACTCTGGACATTACAAAGATGCTGGTGCTTACCGGCATACTCAGGGTCCACATGAGGAGGATAGAAACGGAAGTTAATGAAGAAGGGGATAGGCACACCGAATTTGAACCACTCCACCACATAGGGAGTCTGCTGGCCGTTTAGGGGGTGGCTCACGTCACATCCCAAAACAACACTCTCTCCTGCACGGGCCGTCACAAACTGGGGCTCCTCTCTCACTCCGTGGGCACCTGGGCACAAAAAACACACACATATTCAGCACAGTTTTAAAAATAATAATAATAATAATAATTTTATGTTTTATTTAATTTACTAATGAGGAAAAAATGGGGAGTGGGATCAGGAACTTTAGCAGGCCAGGTTTGAATCTGCATCCTCAGAAGCTCTAACAACACGTGCCGCGCCATACCACCAAAAATTTACAGATTTACGTCTGCATTTGCCACATTTGTCCCTAAAAACTATACTCAAAGTGAGGTGTCAAACAGCTCATTGTCCCATTTAACAAACATTTGTTGTTAAGACATGGATAGTTTCTCAAACGCTGGACTTGTGAAAGTTCTCAGGTAATTATTACTTAAAAGGAATGGCCAAGCACGTAATGAGATGACAAGAGGCTTATCCACGCACCTCATTGATCTCAGCTAATTCACACTTGGATGGCTTTTACAATAGAGAAGCCAGAGTTTTAGCAATCAGTGCACAAGCACGTCACATGCCTGTGGATGACCTATTGGAACGCTAAAGGTCATTGTACCTGCCTCTGCAGGAGAGGTAAAGAAGAACCCAAAGATCCCTGTGGCTGAGCTCCAGAGATGCAGTCGGGAGATGGGAGAAAGTTTTAGAAAGTCAACCATCACTGCAGCCCTCCACCAGTCGGGGCTTTATGGCAGAGTGGCCCGATGGAAGCCTCTCCTCAGTGCAAGACACATGAAAGCCCGCATGGAGTTGTGAGATGGTGAGAAATAAGATTCTCTGGTCTGATGAGACCAAGATATAACTTTTTGGCCTTAATTCTAAGCGGTATGTGTGGAGAAAACCAGGCACTGCTCATCACCTGTCCCAACAGTGAAGCATGGTGGTGGCAGCATCATGCTGTTGGGGTGTTTTTCAGCTGCAGGGACAGGATGACTGGTTGCAATCGAGGGAAAGATGAATGCGGCCAAGTACAGGGATATCCTGGACGAAAACCTTCTTCAGAGTGCTCAGGACCTCAGACTGGGCCGAAGGTTTACCTTCCAACAAGACAATGACCCTAAGCACACAGCTAAAATAATGAAGGAGTGGCTTCACAACAACTCTGTGACTGTTCTTGAATGGCCCAGCCAGGGCCCTGACTTAAACCCAATTGAGCATCTCTGGAGAGACCTAAAAATGGCTGTCCACCAACGTTTACCATCCAACCTGACAGAACTGGAGAGGATCTGCAAGGGGGAATGGCAGAGGATCCCCAAATCCAGGTGTGAATAACTTGTTGCATCTTTCCCAAAAAGACTCCTGGCTGTATTAGATCAAAAGGGTGTTTCTACTAAATACTGAGCAAAGGGTCTGAATACTTAGGACCATGTGATATTTCAGATTTTCTTTTTTAATAAATCTGCATAAATGTCAACAATTCTGTGTTTTTCTGTCAATATGGGGTGCTGTGTGTACATTAATGAGGAAAAAAAATTAACTTAAATGATTTTAGCAAATGGCTGCAATATAACAAAGAGTGAAAAATTTAAGGGGGTCTGAATACTTTCCGTACCCACTGTATATTCAGTATGTACTCAATACACTTAGTTGACATAAAATTAATTGTCTTCTGTACATAATTATTAATTGGGATTAAACTCTGGACATTACAAAGATGCTGGTGCTTACCGGCATACTCAGGGTCCACATGAGGAGGATAGAAACGGAAGTTAATGAAGAAGGGGATAGGCACACCGAATTTGAACCACTCCACCACATAGGGAGTCTGCTGGCCGTTTAGGGGGTGGCTCACGTCACATCCCAAAACAACACTCTCTCCTGCACGGGCCGTCACAAACTGGGGCTCCTCTCTCACTCCGTGGGCACCTGGGCACAAAAAACACACACATATTCAGCACAGTTTTAAAAATAATAATAATAATAATAATTTTATGTTTTATTTAATTTACTAATGAGGAAAAAATGGGGAGTGGGATCAGGAACTTTAGCAGGCCAGGTTTGAATCTGCATCCTCAGAAGCTCTAACAACACGTGCCGCGCCATACCACCAAAAATTTACAGATTTACGTCTGCATTTGCCACATTTGTCCCTAAAAACTATACTCAAAGTGAGGTGTCAAACAGCTCATTGTCCCATTTAACAAACATTTGTTGTTAAGACATGGATAGTTTCTCAAACGCTGGACTTGTGAAAGTTCTCAGGTAATTATTACTTAAAAGGAATGGCCTAGCACGTAATGAGATGACAAGAGGCTTATCCACGCACCTCATTGATCTCAGCTAATTCACACTTGGATGGCTTTTACAATAGAGAAGCCAGAGTTTTAGCAATCAGTGCACAAGCACGTCACATGCCTGTGGATGACCTATTGGAACGCTAAAGGTCATTGTACCTGCCTCAGCAGAAAATATATTGGGGAAATGGATTTTCTTCAGCAAGCTCCACCACAGCCACTGAGCACTCTCTCCTCTATCAGAGTTAGCATGGCTTCAGCGCCTCAATGAAGGGGAAAATCACCTCCGGGATCAAAGGACCTGCTGACGGTGCATTCTCCACCACGGAGACACTGTATGGAAAACTAAATGATTCAGTAACAGTAAAATGTAAGAAAAAGTAGGTTACAAAAACAGTGCTCTCTGTCTGTCTTTCCTTCCTTATTACATACTAAAGAAAAACGCTACTATTTTTATAACATTGAAGTACCGCTAAAGCACAAATTTACACATCAGAATGTGTTTTAGCTATTTACCAATTTTAACTCAAGTATAGCTTACCTTAATGGTTCATTTAAAATTTAACATGACAAAATTCATGTCTTGTGGTTCACTAGTGAAGAACTGATTGGACATAAAAGTTTGGGGTCAGTAAGAATTTAAAAGTAAGAAATTTGTACTTTTATTCAGAAGGGGCACATTAATTTGATCAAAAGTAACAGTTAAGACATTTACAGAAAAAAAACTAAAAAGCAGCAAAACTCTTTTAAAAATGAATAAAGATAACAAATATTTCTTGAGCACCAAATCAGCATTTTAGAATAATTTCTGAAGGATGTGACACTGAAGTCTAGAGTAATGATGCTGAAAATTCAGCTTTGCCATCACAGTAGTAAATTACATTGTAAAATATATTAAAATAAAAATATTTATTTTAAATTGTAATAATATTTCACATAATTATTTTTTACGGTATTTTTGATCAAATAAATGTCACATTGTCCAGCTTTTCTCTCTCATCACACTGAAGTCAGATTGTAAGCTCACAAGTCAGGTAAAATTATTTAGTAAAAGCATTGATTCTGTAGATTTAAATAATAACATCAGTGCAGGAAACACTTTCAGAAATATTTCAGCATGGCGTTTCGATACGCATTGACAGAAAAATGCAGACATTCCAAAACCATAAATGCAACTGAACATTACGGATATCATTAGCTTTCAGTATGTTTAAAAAAATAACAACCATTTCTCAACTTTCTACCAAACTCATATGCAACTATGATTTTGTTTACCAGTTTAATCAGCTTTATCCAGTGGAAGAGTTAATCCACTTTATTTGATTTAGCTCACACAGGTTTTGGACTGAAACAGTGCAGATTTAATCAAATTACTCCTTTCCTAAAGTAAAGCTTGCACCCTCCAGTCACGGGCCTGGGCCCTGAAATCCGCTCTACTATTGCGAGTGCAGAAGATCGCAAAGTACCACAAAGAGAGCAGCTTAACTTTAATGAGAGACCAACAGGGTGCATGCATACTTATAAACTCACTACAATCTGCACATGACCAGGTTCACAAAGAGCATTTCAGCAAGCCGTAAATGTGGGTCAGGGAGCCCCATGTTTAGCCTCGTTAGAATGGGCTAATTGTCATATTGTAACACATTTGCATGGTTGGGAGCGTATATACTGTAATAAATATGTTGCAAGATCAAGAATTGTACATTGCACATTGGAATCTCACATAGTTAACACATCACTTAGTCTGTTATCACATAGCTATATTTAGACAGCTTCTTTTTTATAGCCGCTACATACTTTTTCTAACAGTTTATATTTATCCCCTACTGAGATCCACTTGTAATTGTATTCGCTCTCTGATCCTTTGAATTAGAATTGGAAAACTTTCCTACTTTCCAGCCTTATTTATTGTTAGTTCTCGTCATTTATAAATATTATCTAACCTACTTCCTCCTTATTACCTCACTGCAGGCCTCCAGACTTACATATTTTATATTCGACATATGGTGGCACCAGCACCTGATTTGACAGGAGCGAGGGCCTATAAAATGAAAAATGTAAGGACAGAAACCAATAACAATGGCGATTTATTGTATTTCACAAGTAAGTGCAGTTACCAGTAACATTCCGTATTTAAGCTCATTCGAAAACCACATTCAACCATAAATCACCATAATTCGCAAATGTCCTCTAGAGTCCATGATTCTATTTTGCATTTGCCCACTTAAAAAATAAACCATAGTTCGTCTATAGTATCTTTACTTTTAACAATAATATGCCGTGGTGTGGTCACACTAAATTTTGAGCAGATGAAATTTCTGCAGACACTAGTCGTAATTGTCAGGATTCTGGACTGTCTGTGTTCGTGTTTTTGCTCCCCACGTGCTTTCCATGACCCAGTTTTCCCTCATGTGCAATTATGTTAATTGTTATATTAGTTCCAGGTGTTCCTCGTCATCCCATCCTCTAATCCTGTGTATTTAAAGTGTTTCCTGTTTTGAGTTCTTTGTCTGGTATTGAATGTCTGTGAACGTCATCCTTGTGTTCCGTGTCTCCTGTTGGATAATTAAAGACTCTCGTTTTGGAAAATCTCCACGTCTCCTCATTTCCTCGATCCCGTGCTCCAACGTATCGTGACAGAATACCAGACCAAAACAGTTACCTCCGTATGTTCCCTCCGTTTTTTCCTCAGTGTTTTTTGTTTCCATTGTGTCCATGGATCCCCTCCTTCGTCCTGAATACCTCCCCCTCCTGCTGGAGGGCCACACCAGACTGTTCCTGGTGCTTGCCAACTTCTCCAGCTACCCGGACAACGCGCTCTGTGCGTTTTATGACGCCAGTTTAAACTCCACGTACAGAGCGCCGTCATCCGAGGAAGGCCCTCGAGCGAATTTCCCTGCCTTTGTGGAGTGAACACTTGCCAGTTCCACTCCAGACACAGTGCCCAGCCCACCATCTCCCCGATGCACGGAGCGCGGAGCGCATGCCTGGGCCCACCGCTGACGGAGAGCCAGAGCCCGCCGCAACCGACAAGCCATCGCCGCACAGAACGACAGTGCTGAGGATCGCCGCAGAGCCGGAGCTGCAAATGACGTCAGTCAAGGTGTGTGAGCCAGCAACAACACCCGCCATGAGGGAGAAAGCCAATGCAATGCATATGGCGATACGGTGCTGTGAGTATTTCAGACATACTGCTGCTGCACAAATTGTATATTAAATAACCCGTAGCAGATCTATACAGGTGGAGCGTTTCAGAGGAACCCTGAAAGCGTGCTGCAAAATGCTCGAGTGAAAACCAGCCATTTAAATGTAAAGCAGTAAGCTCATTGGCTGCGTTTGCAATATGTACCAATCAGCTTGTGCCAAATTGTTTAATGCTGTGAATATTATCAGTTACATTAAGAACCTATCAGCCTACGCCATCTAGAGTTTCATGAAAGAACTTGCCATTTTTACTACAAATACCATGGATATACTATGGCTAGTGTAGCAAAACCATGGTTAATTTGTGGTTACCATGGTTTATTGGTTTTATTTGTAGTAAAACCATGGTTAATTTTAATAAGGTTAGTATCATAGCAATATTAAATTATATTCACTTACTCCCCAAACATATGCAATGAAACAAATATGACTATATTAACAACATAAAAATATATTATATAAATCTATTATTGTATCCAAATACCAAATTTCCCAAAATATCATGATTAATATAATCAGTGCTTTTATAGTAGTGACTCCATGGTAAATATTCATAAAGGTGGGGATTTGTGGATTGAAAAGCCTCTTTAGCATTAGAATTATTTCATATAGGCTTAGTTTTAAACGTGTATAAGCAAAGACATTTGGAGATTGTAGCAGAATTATGTGCCAAATTCAAACTCTTTTTACTGAATCTCATGTATAATTTTAATATTGCGTGGTCAAGACTGCTCCATGAAAAAACGCACCATTGCTGAACTCGCGCCATGATGTCCATTGGTCCAGTTACAATATGATAATTCCCCTGCACTGCGCAGTTGACTCGTTCCCATTTAATATTTCTCATTATAGTAGCTTTGCAATTGAATCGAATGTCATGTTTTACACAGCTATATATTGTACGAATTGCGCATTATGTGGCTACACCAAAGGTTCCAAAAGGGGGGTTTTGATTTTATGTCATAGAAGAACCATTTTGGTTCCCCAAAGAACATTTCAGTAAACAGTTATTTAAAAAGAAAAAAAAATGTCTTAGTGTGAAGAACATTTTAATAATGTAAATAACCTTTTTCCACTATAAAGAACCTTGTAAAAAAACAGCAGTCATGTACCTCAAAGAAGGGCCTAAAACAGACTACCGCAAATGACTGTATGGCAGGCAGGGAACATGAGGATTAAAGGTGCTGGACCCCAGTACCAGCTCACCCCTTAATCCACTTGTGTCTGCTTTAACTCCCAAAGGCACAACAAAGACACATGACCCTTTCAGTGCATATAAACACACATCACTCACACCACACATTTACACTGCATTATATGGGCCCTTGGTGATCCGAATGGAGCGGATATTTGTGTTATATATCAGCGGTTGAGCTCTTAGCTCAACTGTTATGGTTCAGAGAACCTTCAAAGAATAAGATTTATTTGACATAAATTACTACAGAACAATGTTTTGTACATTTTCTTTTATACTACCACGACTAGAACTTACCTTTTTCTACACGGTCATTGCATCAAAAAGATGTTTAAACTACAATATTTTTTTTCAGTTTGTCTGGTCCTGGTCAGCGAGAGATATGATGACCTGCACAGCTCGGATGAGAAGAATTTTCATGGTCAACATGCCACCCAACCCTTTTTGAGGTCATATTTAGAGGAAGAGAAACATGGCCTGGTCAGTTTATCAAAGGAAGGTGGAAGTTTTCTGTGTATATTAATACTGTCAGTGTGTGTATATTCATATGCTGAGGTGTTCAAACCAAACAGCCATATACTTCAAGTTCACATTCCCTATTTTTTGCTGAGCACAGAGGAGATTGTGTTGAGATAACATCAAAATCGTTATTTATGCAGCCCTTTTATTTTGAAATATAAGGAAAAAGCATGGAACTAAATAAAATGCTTTCCCAGTCTGTTTTATTCATAATAGTCTTACCAGGAAATCAAGGACTCCGGCGGCATCCCTTTTCAAATGAGGGAATTAATAAATTATGAATTGTAGGAAAATGCCAAATTTATACAGAAGACAGAGTAATTACATCATATATTTACAGGATAAAAATTATCTTGATACCAAAGAATCAAAATTAGAGTTGTGTGGCATTTAGTCCATGTCTATTGTCTTTGAGGTTATCTATATTTTTTCCAATAAAATAATCCCTAGAATGATTGCTGAAGTAGTACATCTCAAAATTATAGTTTTGTGGCATTTAATCCATAAATATACATGCATGTGTGTATATGGTGTATACTTTTTATATATACATAATTACTCAGCACATTAGCAGCAAATTTATACATTTGCCTATTTATACAAATATGGGGGTCATATAAGATACAACAAGTAAAATAATGTGACGTCACTGATTTATTGAGGGGTTTTTTTCTCTCTCTTTTCTTCTCTCTTTTTTTCATACAATAGAAATCAATGGTAACCAAAACTGCTTAGTACGAAAAACATTCTACAAAGTAGGGCTAGATTGTCATGCGCATTATCTTGTCAGTAAAGCCGGTTCTGTAATCAGTAGTAAAATTCCATCACGTGCTTTCAGATGGAGCAGCATTTATTACACAGAGCTCGTAGTTCACTGACAAGCTATGCAAAAAAATTGCAGATGATATAATCGCGCGATTATGAAATCGAAGAAATCGTTCGCAATAATGAAAGCTGTTTGCGTTGCTTCTTAGTGAACTACGGCTCTGTGTAGTAAATGCTGCTCCATTTGAAAGCACTTGAAAATACCACATTTAATGAAAAAATTTACCTCAAACTCACTTCATAACGTCAGTCAAGTGTTTGAAATAAGGGCTCTATGCTTACTTTTCTTTTTAGGAGCGCTTTGAAAATTCGAAAACAGCCAAAAATTTCAGGAGCACATTCAAACCAATAATCAAAAATAATGATCAAAAATGTGCCTTTCCATTACGAGGTGATATTTGATTCCTTAAAGTGATGTACAGGGAATTTTGTTTTTACCTTTGTAATGGGATTTTTCTAACTTTATTAAAAGTATGTCATCTTTTGTCAAATTCAAAAAAATATATATTTTTAAGCTTTTTAAAATTTCTAATTAAAACAACAAAATAAAAACAAGTAGAATAAGAAGTATAATAAGAATAAGTTACCAATCAAATGAAATAAGTATTGAAAAAATTATTTGTACTATAGGTGGCACCGAAGAACACAAATGTGGCTTGTATGTGTATTTTCAGACGTTTAATGAGGCTCAGACGTGGCGTGAGTGCAATTAAATTAATAAATTCATGTTGAGGTTAATGTTTTAAATAGAACATTTTGAATATAGAAATATTAAATGATTTAAATAACAGAAAAGATACTTTAAAAATAAAAACTGCCAGTAGGTAGCGGCAAGCCACTGATTTTATCACTGAATCATTAATTCAATTAATTTGTTCGAACGGCTGATTCATTCTGGAATGAAGCAATTGAATCACTGACTCCCTAGTCGCAGTAGCTATGTTTCCATCCACCTATTTTTATGTGCATTTTGGAATATCACATAAAAAACCGCTTGGATGGAAACGCCAAGATGAGCATACATTTTAAAAATGCGCATAAAAAACTCATATTTGAGTAGGATAAACTTTTTATCCAATAAGAAAAAATGTGCATAAACTACGATGGAAACACATTTACCTAATAAATTCCTCCATGCACATCAAAAAAGTCATGTGACTTTGCGCTATGAGACGGGATAACTTGACTAGCAGTGGACCAATCTCATTCACAGCATATATTTTGTTATGGTCATTCTGAAATGCCTGAGCAAAGTCTGTCGTCAAAGTATTTCTGTGTAATTGTCTTGCACGACTGCGATCCCAAACAGCACCATCCACCTCCGAAGCAGTGACAGCATTTATTGTGTTTCATCTGCTTGCTCTGAGGTGCAAGTAATTTATCATATATGAAAATTATTATATTCAGTGACTTCTTCTAGTTTTCTTAGTGATATGTAGTGCCAGTTTACCAGGAAGTGACAATTTTGTTCTCTTTGACTCGTTGGATAGAAACGGTGCTTTATTCGCAAATGTTTTATGTGATATTCCAGTTTTGCACATAAGTTTAATTCGAATCTTTGGATGGAATCCAAAGTTGCACTGGCGCTCCTAAATATTTCTTCATAGTCACACGGAGTAGTTTTCTTTTGCAAATGCAACTGAAATGGTCGCACTGTAGAGCCCTGATGACGTGGCTTCTTACACAGAATAAGGCACACAACATATTTCATAGTATTCTAAGCAGTGATAAAGGCTATGTCAATTAGCATTGCATTATTATATACTTTATTATAATTAAAATTATAATAAGAATTATAATAAGAACTTACTCAGATAAATCATATATTGTCGTAGTCCTGTGTTTAGTTACACTGAACCAATGAAAGCAGTTAAGTCTTCTGTTTATTCAGCAACCGATTTCCTGGATTTCTTCTGTGGGGCGTATTTGGAGTTTCTGCAGGAGAGCGCCCTCTGGCCTTCGGATGGAGATTTACTGCTGATCACAGAACCGTGCTTCCCTGACAAGATGTGCATGACAATCGCAGCTTTTGCCTAATTGCGATTTATCGTGCAGCCCTACAACAAAGTATCTCCTTTTGTGTTTCACAAAAGAAAGAAAATTATACAGGTTTGGAACGACATGAGGGTAAGTAAATGATGGCAGAATTTTCATTTTTGTGTGAACTAGCCCTTTAGCCCTTTTAAGTAACACTATTCAATATCTTCTGTCACATCTCATTTTAAATCATCTGTTCATATTCACTCAATGCTGGTTCCACATAAAACACTGATATCAAACATTACAGAATGGACTAAACCACTACAAACCATGAATGAGTCGACTCAAAGAGGAGCTCT